AATAACTCAAGTTAAATTCCCATTATTAAAATACTCTTTCAAATTACTCCCAATAAAATCTAATCATCCTAAAAATACCCTGCTTATATAGTTTATGACTCCTCTCATTGCTCCTCTTAATCACCCCTGAACTAAACTAAGGTCAAGCTATCAGATCTAAATGCTATAAATCACTACTATTGTATAAAGCCTCCTCCTAGCCTAATTAACAGCTCCCCATGACCTGTTCGCAGTCTGGGTTAAGACATTGATAAACAATCTAGTCTACGAATGAAAGTAAAATAATAAAAACATACAAATCTACTGATTAAGAAAAGTAAATGTAAGAACATAATAAAGCTAAAAAAATAATCATGCTACACACAACAAGGCTGCCACTTTCCCTAAGTATTAAGAGTAAACTTAAAATTTGTGAAAGTGCAAGGATGTGTCAATCACACCCGCCAAAAAATTTAAAGTTATAATAACTTTTAAATGAAATAAGATTTTTAATTAATTTTTGTGTGAAGTGCTATTAAAATATATAAGTCGTAATATTATAAAGAAAAAATTACCTCCAAATCTGTGTCCAAGTACCTTTAAAATACACAGTCAAATGTAATACTCTACTCGGTTACAAAATACACAGTCAAATGTAATTCTCTACTCTGTTACAAAATAAACAGCCAAATGTAATATTCTACTCTGTTACAAAATACACAGCCAAATGTAATACACTGATCGGTTACAAAATGTAGTACGCTAATCGGTTGAAAATACTCTGCCAAATGTATTACTCTGAAAACATAAAGATGAAAAAGAGTATCGATGAAGTCCTGAATATACATCCAGGAAAAAATGACTGTATAAATATTAAGTTAACACATACTTACATTATACGTTCCTTTTTGAGATTTAAGGTCCATAACTCATCGATCATTAATCAACTTTCGGTTTGAAAAAGGTTGTTGTTTTTAGTGAATCTCTTTAAAACTGTAGTATTAAATCCACTCTTAGCCATATTCATATACAAGTTTTCATTTATAAAATGTACTTATTATAAAGTCAAAGAACTATATGTTGACATATGTACACTTTAAGGCTGATATTGCTAATATGAATATTGGCTTCGTACCACATTTTTTTCTGGGTCATAACCAGTTAAATGTCTAGGTACATTTTACCTATTCTTATTGATAAACACACTATTGGGTGCGTTCACAATTCTTCCATTGGTACAAGTATCCATTTTCCATTGGCTTGTCTTTGGCACCAATGTTGAAGAATGGTACAATTGGTTGCCATTAAACTGTGAACAGCATATTGGTAAACCAATGACAAAACAACCAAAGGCTGTACCAATGGTTGTCAAAAGTGAATAATGGCAACACTTGGTTACTAATGGTCACCAATGGTAAGCAATGGTTACCAATGGCAAATGTTGAGTTTTCACCATTTTCCAGATACAATAAATTCAAAAAGAATTTTGTTTATTGCACTCCTTAATCAAAATAAAATTACTTTTATGGACATAACTTTATATGAAAACTTGTCTTCAGATGATATTCTTTTGCCAAAACAAGTGATCATTTGTTTGAAATTTGCAATACTATGTAGAGATAACAATATTTTCCCTTAAATTGTAGTAGAATTCATATGAAGTGTTATTACTAGTGAGAAAACTTCACTCGTGCTACCAGGAACTGTCCAGGTAGCCATCTTAAGGGTGACTCTAATAAACAAAAAAATCTGGGTTACCAATCTGCCATAGATGTGGTTGGCCTGCAGAATTGGTAACCAATAAAAGTTACCAATAGTAAACATTGGTACCAATGTTTTGCCATTGGTAAATTACACCACCAATACCAACCAATGGGAGAATTGTGAACGCACACATTTAGTGTAGCAAAAACGAAAGTAGGAAAAAGGAAGAGATCGAGAATGACACTAAAATGGATGTGAGCACCCGAAGCAAAAGCCAAAGCCTATTTGTGGCGGCCATAGATTTCGGGACGACGTACTCTGGATACGCGTTTTCTCTCACACAAGAATGGAAGAAGCTGTACACGTACCTTTGGCAGGGTGCGGGACTGGTGTCACACAAGGCCCCCACTGCTCTACTACTGGACTCCAGACAGAAATTTGTGGCCTTTGGTTACGATGCAGAAGACCAATATTCTCAATTAACAGCCAAGAAACAGCAGGACAAGTATTACTTCTTCCTACGGTTTAAGATGATTCTTCACAAAGATCCGGTATAGTATTCCTACGTACTTTCATTTTGCTTTTTCTAAATACATGTAATAGCTGAATTATATTAAATCAATCGAACAATTGTCTATATAATTTTTTTCAGGGAGTAAATAATAATATTCTTTGCAAAGATGAATCAGGAAAATCACTACCGGCCATTAAAGTTTTTACTCATTGTATACGTTATCTGAAGGATCATTTATATAAAGAAATTAAGAAAAGTGACCCCGGAATGGAAGAAGACGCCATAGAGTATGTTTTGACGGTACCCGCCAATTGGGGTGATCGTGCCAAACGCTTCATGCGAGATGCAACTACAAAGGTACATACAATATAACAAAAAGTCCCCCTTCTTTTTCCCACCTAAATTATGAGAAAAAATAATATTTTCTAATAAGAAAATTATTGCTACACTGTCTATTCCATTAATTGAATGAGTTTTCTGTTGAATGTAGGCAGGAATAGAAAAGAGACTTATAATTGCACTGGAGCCCGAAGCAGCATCTATTTATTGTCAACATCTCACAAACGACGAGGAACAATTATCTGCCACTCTGGGGGTACTGAACTCTGAACAAAAGTATATGGTGGTAGATCTTGGGGGTAAAAATCTTGAATATCTTATAACGAACATTCAGTTTCTAGGTACAACGTACTTTATGAACCCAGATTAAGTTGAATTGAATGGTTTCCTTTTTAGGTGGTACTGCTGATATTACTGTACATAAGAAATGTGAGGACCACACTTTAGAAGAAATAAGTCCAGCAAGTGGGGGCCATGGGGAGGAAAATCCGTCGACGATCGTTTCATTCGCTTTTTGGAAGACATAAGCGGGGACGGAACAATGTCAAAATACAAAAAGCAAAGTTTGGAGGATTACTTAGATATTTTACGAACATTCGAAGTAACAAAACGTAGCGTTATCCCGATATGACGGGGAAAATCCATGTAAGAATACCCTTGTCTTTTGTTGAATTTTGCAAAGAAAGCAGAAATGTTAAGGACTTTCCTTCTGCTATAGAACTTTCACCTCAAAAAGACAATGTGACATATTTTGTGGGAAAATTAAAGTGGGATCTCAACTTTTTTAAAAAGACATTTTTTCTAAAAACTATTGAAAGCATAGTAAAGCATGTTGACGAATTATTTGAAGAAGAAAATGTGAGAGATGTTCATAATATTCTAATGGTAGGTGGTTTTTTCCGAGTGTAAACTTGTTCAAAAGGCCATTATCGACAATTTTCCAAACAAAAAAGTTATTGTACCGACCGAAGCAGGGCTTGCCGTTGTCAAGGGAGCGAGCCGTGTACTTCGGTCACGTGCCAGATTCTATTTCTCGAAGAGTGGCAAGGTTTACATACGGCATTCAAACATGGCCAGAATTTAAGCCGACCATTCATCCACAATCGAAGAAATTCGAGGTCAGCGGAATGAATCGGTGTAAGGATGTCTTTTTCCCCTTCGTTCAGAAGGGACAGCAGATCCCTCTCGGGTTTTCTAAGTCTCAATATTCCGTCCTCTTCATGATGACGATACCATACTTTAATGTGCTGTTTATATTTCGACTGAGAAAGATCCAAAATTCGTCGATGACCCTGGATGTGAACTGCTGGGCACACTCAGGGCACCTGTTTCAAGAAAAACTCCGGAATCTCCCCGCTCCGAGGTTGAGGTAACACTCTTTTTTGGGGAGACAGAGTTGAGGGTGACCGCTCGTGATATAATTACAAACCAATCTAAAGACGTGACTTTTGATATATTTTGATAACCTTAAATCGAATATCTACAAGTATTTATTATTTTCATTTTATGTATTTTTTATAAGTTTTCTTAAATCTTTTATTTCACAAGAGATTCTTGACAAAGATCACTTTGGCATAATTGAAAATACCGAATCATAAAATTTATATATGTATTTGAATAAATGTTCCAACTGTAACAAAAAAATAACTCGGTTTAATTTATTTTTCTCTGCAATAGCTAATAATGGTATAGTTTTTACATTTAACATATTCAGTGAGTATCAATCAAGCATGGAACAGATATGACAGGCTGTGTTGTGACTTTTATTTCGAATTCAAAAAGGTTATTTCAATTTTACACATAAACGTTGTTATATTTAATTAATAAAGATATGTTAAAACTAAAGGCCTTAGCAGTTTTTCTCGTGTAAAAGTTACAAAAACGATCGTCTCTGAAAGAAACATAAGGTCATCGGAATTCCAAGTTTTTGGAAAACCTAGTAATAAACATAACATATATTGTCAAGGAGGAACTTCAAAGAACTTCAGAGTTCTAGTGTGTAGAATTAGAATGCTTTTTAACCTAGTGATATTGTAAATAACAAGTTATGTCAGCCATGAGCATATCAAAGTCCTACCAATTATTATGAGCGAATTATGTTTAATTTAGTGAAATAAATTAAAAGTAACCCAAACAATCTTTTCTAAAATATATTTTGTTACCTCGTTACACACTTTTGCAATGTAACAATGTGACGTTAATTTGAATTAATTTGAGTTTTTTAAAAAGTGCGCCTTAACTGTACTTTTAAAGTTTATATCAGGATTTGTAAAATAGCAAATGTTATCATGTACAAAGCTGATTTTAGAAAAAAAACTTCTCGAGCTATTATTATTTCATAATAACGTGACATTAAAGTAAGGTTAAGAGAGCAGAACAATATGAAATTCATGAAGTCGTCTGTTACATACGTAATGTGGAATAAGATCGTGACCTCCGCGGGAGATTATTGTATACAGTTCTGTTATCAGGCTCAACCCTACAAACTGGGAGTGCACTTGATCGTCAACATGTTAGCCCTATTAGTCACAGTCTTCTCCCTCCAAAGTCTTTTTGTTCATGGACAATTGGAAAATGTTTTCACCTACTTGCAAAACCAAGGAAACTTTACGACACTAGTTAAATTGTTAAAGCAATCGGGTTTGGCTGGAACCTTAGCTACATCAGGTTTGTTTCTGTACAATATTCAAATCTAGAGCAATTGGTTTGTATCAAATTTTGAATTTACCTGTAATAAGTTAAAGAACAGTTTAAAGTTCGTGTACTATGTTCAACATCTCTGATATAGACCTAAAACAATCACCCTATATTGCTTAAGCGACCCCGCTGACCATATTTGCCCCCACCGATGCCGCCTTTGCTAAGCTCCCCCAGAGTGTACTGGACCGACTGAGTGGAGACCCCCAGGCTCTGGCAGACACACTTAAATTCCACGTGACTAGTGGAATTGTTATATCACCCATGCTACAGGACGGAAAAGTGTTCACAACACTGTCTGGAAAAAATCTGACCGCTCATCGGTACGATAATCAGGTTGGGAGTTTTAAAGATGTTTCATAGCTTCAAATTAATGATAATCACAATAATCAAGTCTAATGACATGTTTTGATATTCCTGTACAGACTACTTATTCACTTTTTGTTGTATAAATGTTAAAATGTTAAGAAAACAATGCTTCTTGCAAATTCTAGGATGAAATGATCTGACTTCAATGTCCATGTATTGTTTTGACAGTATTTTACTTTCATCTTTACAAGAGCTATGCTGGAAGTCTAGTCTATATAAGTGCAACTGGTATGATCATTTAGAGGTCAAAAATTATTTTACATATGGTCATATTTTAGATATAATTGCTATATGCCTTATTCTTGAAAATGTTCGATTATAAATAAAGAATAATTAATTATTAATTTTAGAGTATGTTTAGGCTTTGCTTAGTCTTCCCTTTTATCTTACCCGAGTGCAAAGGATTCTCATATTCCTAACCAAAAAACATATTAAAATAAATTCGTTCTTCGGAAAAATATGTTAAGCTTGGTTAAAATACATGGCCTCCTTCAACATCACAACAAAAATTTAACATGAATTTATCTGAAAGTTCACTATAACCAAGATATATGGCAAGACCTTTTACTATTCATGAAATTTTAAAAAAAATCTTTCAGTAAGAGATATCTCTCTAGCATAGAGAGATATATCTTTAAAGCAATATGAGCTGCATGTTATACATCGAAATTTTTTTTTGCAAATTTGTAATTAACTATTTCAATGACCGAAAAATAGAGCATTTATGAACCTCTGTTGTTCATATTTGCGATGGAAGACCTTTTTATAAGCTTCGATTGAAGCAAAATTGCATTATTGTCGTCCTGTACAATAATGATACCTTATATAATACTGTATATTCGATCGTACAGAAACATTTCTTCTGAGACATTTTTAAAATTTATTTCGGTCTTATTGATCAGAAAGGTTTAAATTACATACAAATTAATCATAATAACACATTTTACCAGCAAAATAAAATTCTCAAAAATGCAGCTCATATTGCTTTAACTTTGACTAATAGAGGTATCCTTATATCCGAAAGAGATATCTCTTTAAACAAAATAGATATCTCTTTTTGTAATATAGATATTTCTTTTACTAAGAGAGATATCTTTATCAGCTTGAGAGATATCTCTTTCAGCGAGAAAGCTATCTCTTTAAGCGAGAGAGAGAGATCTCTTAAAAAGGTTAAAAGAGATATCTATCTTAGTTAGAGAGATATCTCTTTAGATTTTCAAAAAGAGATATCTTTTTAAGCTAAGGAGATATCTCTTTTAATGAAAGAGATATGTCTTTTCCAGTCATCCTTAAAATAAAATAATCAATTCTCCTCTTTAAAACGAAAGCGAAACAGGTAGTAAAATCTCTGTACTAATTTTGCTGTTATAAAAAAAGACTGAGCATGCAATATCCCGAATATATGTACCATTTAGACAAAAATGCTATAAATCCCTTGTTTGAAACAACAAATAATAATGGCAACTTCGTTGATAAAAATGCTAAAAGTTTAATATTCAGTAAAACGAAAGTAAGCATAAAATCTTAAATGCAATGGACCGAATTTCCTCAGCTTATGATATAATAAACAATTACTAATTTGAAATCTAGGAAACACTGAAGTACTTTTCATGTTTAGTAAAGCTATAATGTAGAATATCATGTATATGTCGAAATTTTAAAATACTTTAATGTACTTCCGTGAATTAAAAGCTTACTTCCGGTAAGGAGAAAAGTAATTTCAAATGGGATTTAAATAAAAATAATGAAGAGAGATAGCTCTTTGCAATAAGGAGACATCTCTTTTACTTTAAGAAATATCTCTTTTACTTTAAGAGATATCTCTTATACTTGGAAAGATATCTCCAAAAGTAAAAGAGATATCTCTATAGGTGAAAGAGATATCTCTTTAGCATTCAGAGATATCTTTTTTAACGTTCAGAGATATCTCTTTTCGCGAAAGAGATATCTTTAAAGGAAAAAGAGATATCTATTCAAATGGAAGAGATATCTCTCTTATATAAAGAGACATCTCTCTACGTATAAGAGATATCTCTCTAAGTTTAAGAGATATTTCCTTCTCATAGAGATATTTCTTTAAAATGAGAGAAATCTCTTAAAAGTTGGAAGATATTTCTATTTTTAAACTCTAAAATAAATTGCCATAAAGGTAAGCATCTTTAACGTTTATATTTTTTAGAAATTTGTCATCCAAGGCGTGGAGATCGATGGTGGAGACAAGATTGTTCTGAACGGAGTAGTTCATCCTATAAACAGTGTTTTGATGCCCGCGGACGTCACCATTTCTGAATACCTCGGTACACACGAGACTCAGTTCTCCGACCTATACGCTGCACTTGTTTTGGAAGGACTGGAGAAACCATTAGAAAGTGGGTCATGTCTGTGTCTGATTGTCTTTTGAAAGAAGACAATTTGAACTTGTTAGGCAAGAGATAAATAATTACTGGGTCTGAGTTTCTGACAGGATAGTAAGCTTATGATACAAGTTTTTTTGCCACATTTATATGATGACATAATCAAAATGCTGAAGTAAAAAAATTTAATTAAGAAATAAACAACAATGTTAAAAAGTTCTCTAGGAAATGAACTTTTAGTTGGTCACGTGATCAAATCCTGTGAAGCCCGAAGGGCTTCTCGGTAGATTTGATAATGTACCAACTAAAAGTTCATTTCCCAGTGAACTTTTTAACATTGTTGTTTATTACTTATATTTACATTTGAAACGAATACATTTCAAGTTAAATTGTATTTATTACATGAACGGGCCAACGTATTGGTATGTAGTGCCGCGCAATGACCTAGAAGTTGTTTGGTCAAAATATCACCACGCTCTGTGATCCGGTCGCGCTATGACCTCTGACCCCCAAATGAAATTCACACAAAATTGAACGTATTTTCTCCTCAACAGATTCATCTAAGAAAGATATTTGCAAATGTAAATATCAATTTATAACCTGATTAAACTACGAAGATTATAAATAATAAGTCTCTTCATCCTCTCGATTTCCTGAGATGTCTGCTTTTCTCCCTCATTAGCTACTTCTTTGCGGGAGGTTCATACATTCATTATCAAACAATGACCTTCGATGTTATTGTTTCCTTAGTCGCTACTGAAGATTTGATTCAAAACAGCAAAACAAAAATAAAACATTAGATATAACGCTTCTTGCTTTAAGGATGAATTATATATACATAATCAATCTATTTTCCAGCGGGTACCTATACTATTTTTGCTCCTAAGGACAGTGCATTTGCCCAGATTTTGGCCAATTTACCCAGTATCACCGCTGATGACGCATATTTCAAAAGTATGTTTACCTAATAAAAATATTGTTAAAGCCATATTTGTATTTGAACCTGTAACTAAATTATGTTTATTTCACAGAGATCCTGATGTACCACGTGGTTCCGGGGGTGTGGTTCTCCGCCGGACTGACGGACGGGATGACCCTTCCCACTCTCGCTGGAACAAACCTTACAATTAGTTTACCCGGATCAGGTATTTTACCAATCGTTGGCTTCACTTTTTTTTCTAATTAAACCATTGTTTTGAATTAGAAAGAAAAAAGTGGAGCCAACGATCAACGATTTTATTTTGACAAATTTATTTTGTTACATTATTAAGTGGCACAAAGCTAATCTGTGTTTCCTGCTGAAATGTCGTACACATGATAACCACTTACATCTTTTATGTGTAACAATTTCATAAAAAAGAATAAATAAATAATTGAATTTATGAAATAAAAGCCAAAACTTGGAAATAAGCACCACCGCAAGCCGAGACAACAAAAGGAGAAATAAGTAATAAAGTCAAATATTTCAATACATATATACCGACAACTTAGATCCGTATTATTCGTGAAATCTAAGATTTATGTTACTGATTATAATTGTCCTGTTTCAGGTGTTTATGTGAAGACTGCACAGGTCATCGATGCTGATATTCCTCTTGCAAATGGCTGCCTTCACGTGATTGATGACGTTCTTACCCCGCCAAAATAAATATTCCTGTGTTTTTTAATTTTGCATTCTCAGACTTCTTTTTGCTGAACAAGTACGTCTAGAGAATACTTGCTGGTACTATTAAATAAAGTATTTATTTCTGGGCATTAAAATCGAAACAAGAGCAATTAATTCTCAAATAACAGTTTTAAAAAATCCTTAAACGCCAGAGATTCTGTTTAGGCCGATACACATTTTCGTGAATACCTTTACTTAACCTCGGGACAGTACTAGTATCTCAGGTAATACACTCTTTACATAGACTGGTTCTAGCTATTTATGAGCAATGTGGTAGAAGTTACAGTGTAGTCGTGTAAATGTCACGTGACAACAAGCGTTAAATTTTCCACTCAGTTTAGTTCTCAATTCAATTAAGTTAGTATTATATGAAATGAATTAAGTATCATAAAAGGCGAAGGTAACTTACAGTGATCGATCTAATAAAAATTAACATACAAAAATGTAAAGAGGGTATTAAACTTAAGAAATATTAAAGGGATGAGGTCGAATAGTCATCCACTGTCGACCAGACACATCCGCCGTGTGCTCCTTGTCATATCGAACAGTATTCAAGCTGAAAGTCCATTTCAAGAACAAAAATCGGGAGCAAAGCAAATATGGACCTCAAAAACAGAGATGGTAGCAGGTGCCTTGGAAGAGAAAGCATACCCTGTCATAATCAGGTAACCGCCAAAATCCGTAGAAATTTCGGTATATAACAAAGCCTAGAAATGAGTTTGAAAAACGTAAAAAAACCAGAAGTCTCTGTCGAGACTGAAGCTCTACTGGTTTGAACTTATAGCAAAGGAAGAGAAAAGTACTTAAGCAGCTTGGATTTGAAATAAATAGAATAATGATCGTTGATAAAGTCTCTTTATGTTCTTAGTATAGTCTACTTGTGTGCCAAGTTATACTGAAATCAGACCAAAACTGTAGGAGGAGTAGCATTTTGAAAGAATTTCACAGAAATTTCTATTTTTAGTAACCACGGCAACACCGTTCATCGAAATCAAAAACCGATACACAGAATTATGTATCTTAGTGTATTCTACTTGTGTGTCCAGTTATACTGAAATCAGACCAAAACTGTAGGAGGAGTAGCATTTTGAAAGAATTTCACAGAAATTTCTATTTTTAGTAACCACGGCAACACCGTTCATCGAAATCAAAAACCCATACACAGAATTATGTATCTTAGTGTATTCTACTTGTGTGCCAAGTTATACTGAAATCAGACCAAAGCTGTAGGAGGAGTAGCATTTTGAAAGAATTTCACAGAAATTTCTATTTTTAGTAACCACGGCAACACCGTTCATCGAAATCAAAAACCGATACACAGAATTATGTATCTTAGTGTAGTCTACTTGTGTGCCAAGTTATATTGAAATTAGACCAGAACTGTAGGAGGAGTAGCATTTTGAAAAATTGTTTACAGACAGACGGACAGACGGACAGACAGACAGACGGACAGACGGACGGACGCCGGACGCATTACTATTGCATAAGCTCTTCTGGTCTCTGACCAGTAGAGCTAAAAATTACCCAAAGATTGTTTTTGGTGATAAGGTCGTTGATTCGACCAAAATAATAACTTCTAACAAAACTGTTGATATTCTCGTGTTATGAACTTGTTGGTTAATAGCTTGTATGGTGAAAAAAATATCGTCGTACTTATATATCGAATCAACTGATAGATATAAACCCATATGCAGATGATAAGGGGTCCTTGCTTCATACAACCAAGCTTCATACGATAAAAGTGATGACTTTAACTTTTCGACTCCCTTACTTATACTTACTTATGCAGCAATATACCTTCATCACCTGCATACGGTGTGTATATATCTCAGTTGATTCGATACGCAAGAGCATGCTCTATGTATGATCAATTTCTAAAACGAGGTAAATTATTGACAAGCAAGTTGATGAAACAAGAGTATCAACAGTCTCGTTTAAAGTCATCATTTTTGTAAGTTCTATGGTCGAAACAATGACCTTGTCAGCAAATACAATGTACTAGTATCATTGAGTCAAATGCTGACTGACGTTTTTCATACTAATTGTTAGTCCATTATTTATAAAATGAATTGACGACGGATTTTTCCGTTTTTTCCCGATCATGACAAGGAGCACACGACGGGTGGGGCCGGTCGGCAGGGGATGCTCGATCCTCCATGGCTCCTGGTCCCACCTCTGATGTTTCTGAGGTCCGTGTTTGCTCTGCTCCTATTTTATATTGTTTTGTGGACTTTGATGTTGAATGCTGTTCGTTATCTCCATATCCTTCATACGAGTAAGTAAGGAAAGTTGACAATATATCTAGTATATTTTTAGATACACTATAGTATATTGGATACAGAACAGTCTCAGTGAATTACTTTGAATATATGAAAAGAATGTAGCTATAACTGGATGTGAAATTATAATGGGCTCTGCCAGATTCGGTGAAGCTATCCAGTAGCACCTAGTAGCACCTATTCTCAAGAAATTCATAACATACTATATAATACCACGATATACTGAGTATCTTTTTCATTTGAATTATTGCTTTATTTTTTTTAGAGTTGAATGTTCATCATTACTCAAATTCTGGTTTCCTTACCTTGAAATTTAATTAATAATTATTCTAGAAAACCACTAATATACACGGACAAATTATTGTGATGACAAACTGATGGGTGTAAGACGGCAATAAGCTGTCCTACGAAAATGCCTTTTGACTACGATATAACTGATACTGTCTGTTTGAAAAAGACCCTTATCTTAAACTGGACTTCGTAAATCACGATATGCTCATTCTTCCTGGATGAGCAAATTGATTATTGATTTGAATTTATTAGATACTTCCTAAAAGTGCAATATTATACAATGTATTTTTAAATAAAAACAGAGAGAAGTAAGTTTTATTATGAAAGAAATTAAATTACAGATTTTTTATTTGAGTACTGAGTGAACTAGGGACGAGAACATAGTCAAGCTTGTGGACGACGCCATTGGTTGCACTCATGTCGGGTTTGGAGACGCGGTGACCGCCTACTATCACTGAACCTGATAAAAAGACGATTAAAAAAGATAATTATAAGGTCCATATGTGGGAGAAAAAGGTGCACTACTGCTGTGTGTGATTTAAGATTGAAATGAACAAATGAGGTACAGACCGAAGAATGATTGATAAATCCTGAGTCTGTCAGCCTCTTCCAGCGTGTGGAAGCTACCAGAGTGCATTACCTTGGAGTAGAGGGTGCCGTGTAAAATGTGGTATTTCAGCACATCTGAGGAGTGATGGAAACATTACTAAATGTTGTATTACACAAAGTTCCAGATGCATGTTAAGTTAAATCCGTCTCTATGAAAGTAACAAATCAACATCCCATACCACTGCAAAACCTCGATGACATGCTTAACCTTAGCTTACTAATTGTTTCTGATATGCTTTACGGAAGGGCTTTTCGAAAGACAAACTTGTTACCGAACAAATCATTATTTAAATGAGCTTTTCACATAGCCTTTTGATCCGTCGTCTTGTTAAGACTATCTCTTTTCCATACATAAGCTTAAAGTTCGAATGTAGCCAATCACAATTGAAGAACGAGAGGACACAACGCTCACTTAGGTAACTGACCATGCTGTTCTTCACCAGATCCCCCACTGTAATACCTAAAGTGGCCCAACCGTATACCTGGGGTCATAGTTTGACCAATAAAAAATCTACATAACCTCGGAATGCTCCCACATAAGTTTTACCTTTTCTGAAAATCGTATGTGGACTTTAACTTTTCAATCGTCAACTTCCATTGCTTAAACCTTCATCACCTGCGTACGGCGTTTATATCTCTCAGTTGATTCGATACGCAAGAGTATGCTCTACTTGTGTAAAACGAGATTAATTATTGACAAATAACTTGATGAAACAAGAATTTCAACAGCTTCATTTAGAGTCTTTTTTTTTCAAATGCTGACTAACGTTTTTCATACTTTTTGGTTGGCCATTATTTACACAATGAATTATCAATAGATTTTTTCCATTATTTACAGTTCACGACAAGGAGCACACAGCGGGTGTGACCGGTCGACAGGCCATGTCACTTCTCCATGGCACCTGATCAAACCTTTGATGTTTTGAAGGTCCATGGATGATTGGTTGCTCTGTTCCTATTTTGTAATGTTTAATGGAATTTTCTTGAATACTGTTGGTTATCTCCATATTTTTCATTGAAGGCACCAAGAGCAGACATAGGAACAGTTGCTACTTATATTTCTGTAAGATCAGTCGCGGTCAATTTCATTTTTGTATTGGAAAAAAAATGAATTATCACCATGTTTGAGAAAGGATGAAAATGAGAAAATGTAGGAACCCTCTCTTTATGGAAGGAACTGTTAAACATAACAGGGGTTTAGGAAGAAAGAGAGACAGAAAACGGCCTGTAGTTTATGAAATATGGAACAACGAACAACGCCCAAGCTCAAAGGTCCATTCAAACAATAGAAATCAAGAGCAGAGCAAACACTGTCCTCCAAAACATCAGAGGTGGGATCAGGTGCCACGGAGGAATGTGTTTCCTCTACCAACTGGCCAAACCAGCTATGTGCTCCTTATCACGATCTGGAAATAACAAAAGCAATATGGACAGTTCAGTGTGCAAATAATGACTTAGCAATCAATATAAAACGTCCATCAGCTTTAACTTAATCATTGATTGTATTCTCTGTCAAGATTGTTGTTTCATTTTAAACTTTTAAATTAATAAATGCATGGTTTTGCAACAGTTCAAGTTCATATAGAACTGTTTAACATACCTCCTAAAAGCTGAGGGTTTTGTAGAAACGCATCTATCCAGAGCAGATATATGCACATGCAAACAACGTGCTCAGTGGAATGATATGAGCGAGGAAACTCGAGCTATAAACAGAACAGTTGTTTTTTCCGATTTGCGAATGGGGTTAAAATTGCGCTTTTTCATTATCAGACGGTGCGACGCAACAAGTAAGTTAAATAACCTAAGGATTATTACTTAGTAATTCTTGTCTTGATGTTGTTATGGTCACATTTCTTCTAATATGTTATTTGAACTCTGCGTGACAGAGGTATGCCGGATGTAATGAACACATAGCCTCAGGAAGACCCCCATATGAAAAATCAAATTTTCAAGAGTTATGAACAATGACAAGAAAAAAGCGAAACAAATAGTTGTAGTCATATTATCAATGAAACGAACTGACATCATTTTCAATGCATTTTTCATCTCCTGAATGCTGTAGCTGCGCAGTTCTAACATGATTAATTTCCTCCTAATTAAAACAAAATAAACTTAATTATTTAATAATTTTGGTCTGTAACATTAGGTAATGAGTGCATTAGCACTTTGAATAACTTTAGGCTAGTTTGGTAGAGTATTAAGTGCATTCTTGGTATTTCTTATTTTACACCAGACTAGATCCAATGTGGCCTGTACATCCCCCTTAAGAAATATTAAAGGGATGAGGTAGAATAGGCATCCACTGTCGAACAAAATTGTTGATATTCTCGTGTTATGAACTTGTTGGTTAATAGCTTGCATGATGTAAAAAATATCATCGTACTTAGAGCACGCTCTTGCGTATCGAATCAACTGATAGATATAAAGCCATATGCAGACGATAAGGGTCTCTTGCTTCATACGAGTAAGTAAGGAAAGTTGACAATATAATTATAGTATTTTCTTTTTAAATACGCTGTAGTATATTGAACAGTCTCAGTGAATTACTTTTAATATATCAAAAGAATGTAGCTAGAATAGGGTGTGAAATTATAATGGGCTCTGCCAGATTCGGCGAAGCTATCCAGTAGCACCTATTATCAAGAAATTCATAATACCATGATATATCTTTTGCATTTGAATTTTTGTTCTTTGTTTTTAGAATAGCCTGTCATTATTACTAAAATTCTGGTGTCCTTACCTTGAAATTTAATTACTAAGATATTCTAGAAAATATAAACGGACAAATTATTGTACAAAAAAAATGTAATGGCAAACTGATGGTTGTAAGACAGCAATAAGCTGTTCTATGAAGATGCCCTCTGACTACAATATAACTAAAAACTGTTTGTTTGAAAAGACCATTAAAAAAACCTGGACTTCGTGAATTACGTTATGCTTCTTTCTCCTGGATGAGCAAATGGATTATTTGATTGAATTTATAAGATATGTTAAAAATTAAATTTAAAAAAAATATATGTCTTGCCCGATTTTGACCTCTTTTATTGGCGGCCGATCAATTTTGTGTCCATCGGTCCAAGATATATTTTTTTCTGCGTCGGTGGCCGATTCTCCAATTGAAGTTATCCGTCGACCAACCTTCGATCATCGTCCGACCATCAGTGTATAAAGACGGTCGTCCGTCGTTCGACAATAAAGGTGTTCATTATTTCCGCCGACGTTTAAAATCAAACTGTAGCTCAGAGCTCGATGATCGGGCGACAATTGGCCGACTTGTGAATATTTAACCTATTAAGGATACATAACACAAACAAAATTTTGATGCATGGATTGATATATATTTTTTAAACGGAAATAACATAAATAATTATTCCATAAGATATAAAGAAATCTTAAATATTCTTTGCTGCTTAGATATGCGCCATTTGTTGTTTTTATGCAATTCCATGCAAAATTTTGCACACATTTTCAACGTTGAGTCACAATTTTATAAGATTCTGCCACTTTGCCTTGCAAACATTACTCGTGTCACCTATCTAAATATAGATCAATGAAAAAATATTGCTGATTTCTAAAGAAAAAGATTGTTTGTGTTATTTATCCAAGTCATCGGTGTCCCTAGGAAATAATGTGACTGCTCCGTGTCGCCCGATACTGTGTCGGCCGATCATGTTCTTTCAGCCGACAAGACCAGAAAAATTTAGTCGCCCGACCATCGTCTTAAATGTGACCTAGGCATAAGTTTTATTAAAACAAAAAAAAATTACAGATTTTTTATTTGAGTACTGAGTGAACTAGGGACGAGAACATAGTCAAGCTTGTGGACGACGCCATTGGTTGCACTCATGTCGGGTTTGGTGACACGGTGACCGCCTACTATCACTGAACCTGATAAAAAGACGATTTAAAGAAGATTAATCATAAGGTCCATATCTTGGAGAAAAGGTGCAGCTATTGCTGTGTATGATTTTAAATTGAAATAAAAATAAGGTACAGACCGAAGAATGATTGATAAATTCTGAGTCTGTCAGCCTCTTCCAGGGTGTGGAAGCTACCAGAGTGCATTCCCTTGGAGTAGAGGGTGCCATGTAAAATGTGGTATTTCAACACATCTGTTGAGTAAGAAAAAACATAACTTAATGTTTTACTAAACAAAGTTTTGGATGGATGTTATGTTAAATTCGTCTTTCTTTGAAAATGACAATCAAACATCCCACATCACTGCAATACTTTGATGACGTGCTAAACATTAGTTAACCAATTGTTTCTGATATGCTTCAATGTTTGGCTTTTCGAAAGGTAAACTTGTTACTGAACAAATAATTGTTTGCATGAGCTTTTCATATCCCCAAAAATTCAACTTCTTTTCAATGACTATCCCTTTTTAATACATAAGCTTAATGTTCAAATGTAGCCGAGCACAATTCAAGAACAGGAGGCTCATGGGCCACAATGCTCACTTAGATTACTGACCCTTCTGTTCTTCACCAGACCCCCCTTGTAATATCTAAAGTGGCCCCACCCTACCACGGGGGTTATGATTTGAACAATTAAATCTACATAACTCCGGAATGCTCCCACTTAACCCTAACAAAAATATTATAGTTATGTATAGTTTACTATAGTAACCATAGTAATATTTTTGACACTTTCATATACTACAGTGATAAAGTTGATACTACAGTGATCACTTTGAAAACTTTGATTTACTACAATTAACTAAAGTATATTTTTGTTATTGCTTTTCTTACAGAATGGTTCTTGAGAAGAAAATCTGGCAATGAGGAATCTTTATTAGTGCCATTGCCTACCATGCCATGTGACATCGACACATTTGTTTCATATTTGGATATTTTACTTGAAAAATACAAGTAAATGGTAATCTATCAACCATGCTCATGATAAACGTGATGTCTTTAACTTTTCAATCGTCAACTTCCCTTACTTATGCAGCAATATACCTTCATCATGCACCTTGTCAGCAAATACAATTTTTCAAAACTAAATTATTGTCAAATATCAACAGTGAAAGTCATCATTTCTTAAGTTCTACGCTTTTGTCATAATCATTTTTCATGCAAATACTGACTATTTTCTCACAATGCCTCTATTTACACGGTGAATTGTCGGCGGATGTTTTCCAGTATTTTCCGATCATGACAAGGAGCAAACGGTGGGTGTGACCGGTAGGCAGGGGAAGTCACTCCTCCATGGCACCTGATCTCACGTCTGATATTTTGGAAGTCTGTGTTTGCTCTGCTCCTATTTTGTAATGTTTAATGAGCTTTTGATATTGAGTACTGTTCGTTATCTTCATATATTTCAGTGAAATATTCTGAAGAGGGACGTTAAACAGTATACAATCAATCAATCAATCATATATTTCATTGAAGGTACCAATAGCAGAAAAAGGAACAAATGCTACTGGTGTTTATGAAATATGGAAACACAAACAGCACCCAAGATCAAATGTCCATTCAAACAATACAAATCAGGTGCAGGAAGCACGGGTTTCAAAAATATAAAAGCTGGGATCAGGTGCCATGGATGAGTATGTATCCCCCGTCGACCGGCCAAATCTTGTTATATGCTCTCTATTATGATTGGAAAATAACAAAAAGAATTATAGACAATTCAGTGTGTAAATAATGATCTAACAATTAATAATAAGACAATCCAATGCCTAAATAATGACCTGACAATAATAAAAGTTTTTAACTTTAATATATAGATCGTATTTACTGACATGATTATTGATTTATTGTACAATTTCAATCAATTAATGCATAGTTTTGCAACAGCTCAAGTTCACGCAGAGCTGTTTAACCCCCTTCCCCGCAGTCACGCATTTTAACGCATATACCATTTCCTATTTCTAACGCAAAATCACACATATACCGTTTCCTCGCAATCACACATTTTCACGCACTTTTAAAAGTTCATTTAATCTTCAATTTAATGCCAATTTCCTTCAAACTTTTACTTGCTAAAATCTCATAAAATAAGAAAAGTTATTTTCTTATCAAAATATTATTTAATAACATTATTTATGCTAAACTTTAGACTGAGAAACTTGTACCGCACTATAAAGTGCTTGCAGGGAAATGGTAACGTCATATTTCTATGATGTGAACATTAAGTGTATGTTGCCTAACAGTTCAGTAAGTTGTAAAGAGTTAACATACCTCCTAAAAGCTTAGGGTTTTGTAGCAGTTTGTTCACTGTGTCGTTGCCAAGTCTGTTGAAAGCTGCATCAGTTGGTGCCATTAGAGTGATTGGTCCATCTTGGAAAAAGAAAAAAAAAGGATATCTGGAGTGCTTTTATAACACATCTATCATTACAGGACAATTAATATACACAGATATACCTGGTATGAATGACCAATACTGCTAAAATACAATTATTATTCATAAAAGATGAGGAACGGCAGATATGACCTTAAATTTAATATGATAAAACAAGCTATTTCTTCCTGGTGTGCTTTAAACGTTTGGTACTTTAAATAAAAAACAAAACAGCGCCCATAATTAAGTTGATTTCAATTTAACATAAGATTCAAAGTCAGGTTCAACACGACCTCTCATTTTATCTACAATGAACCAGTCCTGACAATGTGACCATGATTGTTGCACTTATTTATTTTGTCCTTATTTGGACAGGAATACATTCAGTTTAACGAACTGCATACAAGATATTGCACTCGAAAATATCATATTATCACAAAGAAAACTGGCATCTACCAAAAACGTCGTAAAATCCTGTTCAAAACTTGATCATGCGTCTTGGGCTCAGCAAATTGACAACAGATTTGGTTTTAATGACATTTCCAGAGCAGAAGGTCTTATCGAAAATAAATCATTGCAAAGACTGTAAGGGATCAATTTGTTCATATATTTCTTAGACAAAGAGGGATAAAACTTACCACCTAGAGCCTCAACGAGACCAGCTGCCTTGGCAGCAGCAATAAGAGTGTTAAAAGATCCATCCTGAGTCAAAACCTCAACGATGTTTCCAACTGGTGGCATCAGCACCTTCTCGATTCGGTGGATGATACCATTGGAAGCCATCTTGTCGGGGTAAGTAATACGGGCTCCTTCGACTGTAAGTGTGTGCTACAATGACCAATCAGAACAAAAATATATAAACAGGTGGTCTGAGCAAGGAACGCGGTCAGGATGGAAATAATGTGTACCAACCGCTTTATCGAAAAAAGAGCACTCCACGTTAAGCCAGCCAGCTTTTCAGGATGATGAAACATGAATATTATATAGTCTTCGTTTGAGTACTTACACGAGCAGCATAGTAATAGTTGACTCGGAGCTTATCTCCCTTTAGACTGTCCAGCATGAGTTCGTTTACGAGCAGATCAGGCTTAACATGGTATAAGCCGCTAACAACGTGGTATTTCAAAATGTCAGCCAGTTTGGCAGGATCGGCTTTCAAACTGTTCAGTGTATCATTGCCAAGTAAATTGAATGCGTGGTTGTCAGGAGCAAATATAGTGAAAGGACCTAAAGGGACAAAAGTATATCTTCCTGAATAAAGAATAATAATATTATACTCTGTTAAATAAATCTTGAATTCTTTAAAAGAAATTCTGATATTTCCCTCCACATCATGCAAGTTACAATTACTGGAAATACTGCATAGCTCATCTGGTCCCTTTGATAATGATGGACTATATAAAAACTTGGACAAAATAAAGTATTCTTAAATTAGGTACTACTAGGATTTTTTCAAATTTCATGTAATTATCTTACTGATTTATAGAATCCTTTATCAATCTAGGATTCTTTAAGCCATAAACTTAATTGTAAAAAAACAACCCTTCTAACCTCCTTGTGAAAGAGCCTCCGTCAGTCCCGCAGCATCTATAAGGTCCACCAGTATAGACTCCAGTGAACTGGTCTTCAAGGTATCCACCAGGTTAACCAGGGCTGTGGGATCCTGTCCCAGGGTCAGACCCAACAGGGGGAAAATAAAGAGGAACCTCATCCCAGAAATGTGCTAAGAAAGAATGTGACAGCTTTTGGTTAAAACCAGACGAGAACCGGAGAGATTAAGGTCACGTGGTAGAGCTGATAACAAGCATGGACACGAAACACGAGTCTTGTACTTTTATACATTCCTTCCTAGAATTCCACTTCTCTTAATTACCCATATTTCAGATCACTGATTTTGAAGTCTTTTAAAGTATTTTATCATTTCATAATTAAATTCTTGGTCAAGTAAAATTGGCTTTTGGTTTTCATGTTTAGTCAAACTCTCAAGAATATCTTTGCATCATTTCTAAAAGTAAAAAAAAAAAACCAAGATAGACCATGAAATTGTTTGAATTGCCCGTTAATTATACTAATATTTTACCAATGAAGAATAAAAGTACATTATCAATTAAAACTGGGCAGATTATTTTAAATTTAGGAATAAGAATGTGCAAAACATTTTAATTCGGGATGATTGATATAAAAAAATCTTTGATATTAACACGAAGTCAAAGAATGTACATAGAATGTACATAAGTTGAAAAAATGGAATAATGTGAACCTTATGTAAATTAAGAATTCTGCTAGAGGTCAAATAATAGAAGATTTGGGAAGATCTGTGACGTTATCAGAATCGTGCGTGATAAGGCAGGACTTCAGATAGGACGTTTACACTACCACAATTCCCGGCCATGAAGCTGTTCATCTTGTTATCCGTGTGTCTGGCTGTTTCCTCAGCCTACCCCAACCTGGTGGACCTCGCCAGTGCTAACAATGCTACAAAACTCGTGTCCCTCCTCACTAGCGCTGGATTAGCGGACATTCTTAAAGACCCCAGCCAAGGTACTGAAACTACTGTCAGTGGTTTTCTTAATTGGAATTATTAGAAGGGTGTTAATTTTCAGCGATAAACAAGTCTGAAATTGTTATCATAATAGTAAATTATTTTAGCTTGATTGCAATATATTTTTGCAAATCTTAAGCCGTCGTTATTTACATTCTTAAGTTTAAATACACACTGATAAAGTATTCCGAATACCATTTAGAAAGTTTTGTATTATTTTCAATGCAAAAGCATCTCAACACAATTTATTATTATACTACCTCTTGAAAAGGGGCAGGGTATATAGTGATCAAATGTCCGTCCGTCTTGCTGTCTGTACGTCCGTTTGTCTGTTACGTTTTGGGATATCTCTTATCCGCAACTCCTCCTATACCACTGAATGAAATTTAATGAGACTCTCACAGAAGCTTTGGTACATATTTACTTTTTCATCTGACACTTATTTAGGGTTTCCAAGACCAAAACATGGACTTTGCCATTATAATAATATGGAGGTGTGGGTATTATTTAATGAGCGAATTTCCAGTAGTACCTCTAGTTCATATTTAAGATAATAATATATTTTATTATTGTATAGTGCAATTTACTTGAGTGTTTTTGAATTAGTTTCTATTTAATACACTTAGTTTACTTGGAAAATGAAAGTCGATTATTCTGCTTTTAGAAAGTTTCATTGTTCTCAAAACCTAAGGAATTGCATTTTTGAGTCTTCTTCAAATCTGTATCGTACTGGACACCAGCATAACATGTAAATATCTAATTGTATGTATCAAGGAATACTGTTATTACACGTGCTTTCGTTAACTAACGGTGTCATATATTTGACTTTTAAAAGCTGTCTTTGTTAATATGTCTGACGTATTTGGTTTGCATATTTTTTTCTTCCATGTCCAGCATAGATAAACCAAGAAAAACCTTTAAAAACTATTCATATAAAGTGGGTTGAGAATCTGAAATATTTTATCGTTACCATATGAAACATGATGACCTATGACATTTCATACAGATAACTTCAAAAACCGGCTATAGCTGGTTTAGAGGCTAATTATATCTACATGGCTTGTGTATGAAAGGAATAACTGTCTCTAGATTGTTGGTTTTATGCAATAATCAAGCAATTTGCTTGTATGATAAATAGCATTATTAACAACTTACGCATAAATAATCAAGGGAGTTAAATGTTTGATTAGCATCTTAAAACTATAAAAAAGGATAGTTATTCCACATATTTACATGCATGGTACCGTAGCGCTCCAATGCCACCCCACTTACATGTATCCCTGTTCCTTCAAGTGTTTCAAACCATGATGAAGCAATATTGTTTGGGGAAAAAATCAGGATCCAGAGAAAATATAACGTAAATGTTAATATACTTCCTTCAATGCCACAGGTCCGTTCACTCTGCTAGCGCCTTCTGATGCCGCCTTTGCCAGAGTTCCAGCCGCTGATTTTCAGGCATTGAAGGCAGACAATGCGCAACTACAGGAAGTACTGAAATACCACGTGATGAAAGGGGAGATTTTCGAGTGGGATCTTGTGAACCACGAAGTCATTCCAAGTTTGAATGGACACTCAATTCGTGTTTATGTCGCATCAAGTTCAAATGCCCAGGTATGCCCACACTGAAAGGATTGTGAGACAGCAACAAAACAACTCAACATGCGTGTCGCTTTGTTTTGCTGCCTTTTCGTGCTTTGTTTTCCAGCGTTAACAAAATAAAGAACTGCTTACTGGTGTTATTATCGAATAAAATTTAATCTTTGTGTTTTTTTCTTCCTCAGAGAACTTATTTCAACCAAGCAAAAGTTATAGTGTCAGAGTTACAAGCATCCAATGGCGTGCTTTACCTGATTGACGAAGTTCTTAACATGCCGGAGGGGACCATTGACGATATCATCCTGAACCCCGACTACAACATTGACCAATTCATGGACTTCATCAAGGAAGCCAGACTAACCACTGTATTCAACAGGACTGTTGGTGAGAGAGAGAGAGAGAGATTATTTCTAAAACGATAAATTTTGATTATTTATAATAAAGATCCATTTTTTTCTAGCTGTCTATTTTTAGCGTTATGTCTTTTGTCAAAGCCTATATCATAAAATTATAACGATGCAGTTCTGCGGCTACATTTTTTCATTACATATATATAAATATTTTTTCAGGTAATAGGTACACAATGTTTGTTCCCAGTAATCAAGCCCTGGCTTCTCTGGACCCAGGATTCCTGGCTCAGATTAAGAGCAGTTACTCAAACGCTCGCCGTAAGTTCAATGCTCTGTTGACATGGGTTTCAATGAAATAAATTTTCTAATTGTTCATCGAATGATATGATATCTTCCTTATCTGCAGGCTTAGTTGACTACCACGTTCATCCTGGAACTCTGCACGCCAAGAGTATTCACGGCCCCGGGCGTCTATCCACAATGTACAGGGGACATTATATTAATCTCTCACAAGACGGTTAGTACAAATACCCTCTTCCTACCCTACCAATACATAGAGGCTGCATTTTCTTATATTTATAAAAATATTTCAGACCGGAATTTTTCTTCAGCTGACCTTTTATAAAAGTCATTATAAATTGAAAGAGATACCATAAACGAATGTTAAAACATTAAAACTAAACCAACTATTATCTTAAAGTTATTTTTTGTTAATCAAACCACGGTTGCAAATTACACCTTCTTGTTTCCATTTCATATTTTACTTCATAGAACTTCAATGCTGATTTATGAATATAAAAAGTACACAAAATCCGTGATTTGCAATGAAGATTTGTAGATGAGAAAATTGAAGCTTATTATATATGCACCTATATGAAAGGAAGAAAACATCCAGTCTCTAAATTCATTTACATTAAGAATATGGAGATAACGAACAGTTTTCCATTCAAACAATACATTTCTGTAGCAAAGGAAACGCGTAACTCTTCAAAACCAGAGATGGGAACATGTGCACGTGCCATGAGGAGTGAGTATCGTCTGTCCAACGGTCACACGACGTGTTTGCTCCCTATCATGATCGGGAAAAACAAAACCAAGTAGACGTTCAGAAATTCAGAGTGTGAATAATATACCAAAATTACTATGATAAATTCAGTCGGCATTTGACTGAATGATAGGTTGTATTTGCTGACAAGGTCATTGTAATGAACAAAAAACTTGCGAAATAAGGATTCAAAAAAGACCGCATGCAGATTTATGAAATAAAATTGCTGTTCAGCTTTGTAATAAAACTTCAAGTCGAAATACTTAATTTTAAAGATATGCATATTTCAAATAGTTGTATGTTGTTATCTTTTTTTAAATTTATTTTTATTATTCCCTTTTGAGAAATTTTCAATCATATACATAGAGATATCCGCCTAATAAAACAGTTTTAAAGATGAGAACTATAAGTCAACAGCTGAAAAAATTAAAATGTGACCTTGCTTTGGTATTTGATATGTTTTTTTTAAACTTTGCAAAGAAAAACATTAATGAAATATTCGGCCCTTATTTTATATTAAGTTTTACGTGCAAAATATGTGAAGTATACATTCATTCAAGACAGGCGAGTCAGGTAAGCTTTACGGCTTTTGAACAATTTGTTTACGAAGGTTTTTTTCCCATATTTCCAGCCAACAACAATACGCTTTTGAACAACGTAGCCACAGTTTTGCAGGCTGATATCGAAGCCGAGGATGGAGTGGTCCACATTATTTCTCACGTGCTTATTCCCTCTACACTCTCTCCTGGCGGGCTTGTCGGATAAATGCTTTATTTAATAAATATTTTACAACATAATCTGCTTTCAAATAGATCATTGAAAACTCTTATGCTTGTTGTTACCGAAACAATGAAATATTAATAGTGATTCTTTAGAGAAATATCTAAAGTAAAGTCATAGATACATGTTTATGTGCGTAATTATCGAGTTGTATTTACATCCTATTTTTAAGCTACCATTTAAAAAAAAACTCTTAGATCTGGCTTTCTTATGTCTTGAGTTGAGACAGGTCTGCGACTTTTTCTGTTTTAATAAAAAGAATACCCGGTCTGTATATCATACCAAAAAGGCGATTGAGCAACCCAAGAGCTATGTAGCACCAGAACGCAAATAGATGCAATACGCTCAATAGTCCACTTAAACAATACAAATTTGGAGCAGAAGAAGAATATGGAGATAATCAGTATTCAATCTCAAAGTACATAAAAACAATAGAAATTAGGAGCAGAGCAAACACGGACCTCCAAAACATCAGAGTCGGGATCAGGTGCCATGGAGGAGTGAGCATTCCCTGCTGACCGGTCACACCCGCCGTGTGCTCCTTGTCATGATCGGGAAATAACGGAAAAATCCGTCGTCATTTCAGTGTATAAATAATGGACTAACAATTAGTATGGAAAACGTCAGTCAGCATTTGACTCAACGATAAATTGTATTTGCTGACAAGGTCATTGTATCGACCATAGAACTTAAGAAATGATGACTTTAAACGAGGCTGCTGCTATTCTTATTTCATCAACTTGCTTGTCAATAATTTACCTCGTTTTAGAAATTGTTTATACGTAGAGCATGCCCTTACGTATCGAATCAACTGAGATATATACACTCCGTATGCAGGTGATGAAGGTTGCTGCATAAGTAAGGGAAGCTGACGATAGAAAAGTTAAAGTCATCACGAATCATATAGCTTGGTTGTTAGATTACCATTAACGTCTTTTTCAAGTAAAATATCCAAGTATGAAACAGATCTGTCAGACTCTGTGGTATCTTTTATCTCAAGCTCACCAGGATATATTATATCGACGTAGGAATGGAAATTACCATTGTTAATTGACAATACGTCGTCGATATATCTAAATGTCGAGTTGAAGGCCACAGCAAGTGTTTTCTTCTTTTAAGGTTTTGCACAAATTCTGCTTCATATGAATATAAAAATACGCCTGCTAATAACGGAGCGCAATTGGTACCCATGGAAATTCCAATAAATTGTTGGAATACCTGGTCTCTAAAAACCACATAGATATTGTCAATCAGAAACTCAAGCATCTCTTTGATGTCAACTTCAGAGTACTTGTGTGTGCAATCAGAATGTTTTTTAACAAAATAATTTTGCAAATGACCAATGACGAGGTAAGTATATTTACGAGTTCCATTTTTATTGAAAAAGCAGCTGTCAATTATATCGAAAAACCTGGACTTTAATTAATCATGCGGAATGGTTGTGTATAAAGTTGAAAAGTTGTAAGTTTTTAAGCTGTTGATTTTGGTAAAATCTTGTGATTTCAAATTGTCCAAAAGTTCTTTGGAATTTTTAAGTATTCACATCTGATTCACACCACTTCTTGAATATTTTGTTGCACAGTACTCTTGAAGATTTTCCTTCACTACTGTCAATATCTTAGTGAGGAGTAACGAAAGAGGCTTGGTTGAACATTTACTAGAACCCGCAATGTATCTGTTTGTAAGGAGTTTTATGAAGTTTCGGAATCCAATATATATAGGGTAGTTCAGATTCATTTTGGCTCTCTGGAATATTAGAAATATTTAAAACTGACATATGATTTTGAAGAATTTCTTCCTTAGAAAGGGAAGTATGAGTACAAGTAGGATTTCCACTTGTAGAATTTAATCCAACTTCTTTTAAAATACAATTTATATAATGGGCCTTACAAACGAAGACAATGTTGTTACCTGCTTTACGTACTGATCATGTAATCTATCTAACTCTTTTTTCACTTCTGAACAAACAAGAAGATCTCTCTGAAAACATCAGAGACAGGATGAGGTTCCATGAAGGAGTAAGGTTTCCTCTCCACCGGTCAAACCGGTTATGATAAGAAATAATGGCCTAACAATATTTATGAAATATGACAGTCAACAATCGGCTAAGAGATACTAGTAAATTGTACTTGATTACAAGGTCATTGTTTCAACCATATAATCTGCAATATTTTAACTTTAAAAGAAAGCATTTATATTCTTAATAAATTGCCTCCCTCAAGAAATTGTTCTTTCGTGGAACATGCTTTAGTATAATGTAGATCATTAAATTTTCGCGACACCTTATTTTCGCGAGATAGTAATTGACTCTTGATTATCGAGACAAAATTTTCGCGAATTGCGGTTATTGCTCTATATAATCTTAAGGAATACTATTATACGCGAGAATTAAATTTTCGCGAGCACACTGTCTCGCGTAATTACGCGAAAATAAAGTTCTCGCGAAATAAAAGTGATATATAGTATCAAATCACTTTGGAGGCAAACTTTATATAAAGGTGATAATACTTTATTGCAATATAAGTGACGATTGTAAAAAAAGTGTTGCTGTTATGTTACCTTTGACATCTTTTTCCAAAAAATATTACATGCATTATTCACAATCAGTGGCGGATCCAGAAGTTCATGTGGGGGGGTTTTGAGGCCCAAAGGGCCGAAGGGGGAGGGCATGGGAGGGGGTGTCCCACTCCCATAGGTGGGGGTTCGGGGGGCCTCCCCCGAGAAAATTTTGTTTTAAATGGTTCTAAATGGTGCATTTTCCAGCATTCTTTTGTACTTTTTGTAGCTTTTTTAAAGACCAATCATCACAAATTTTTAAGAATCCAGAAAAATAAAATGTTTCAATTTGATTTAACTTTAACACAAGACTTTAGACCTTGTTTAAAAAAATGAAGTGGGGGGGGGGGGGCTTCTTCCCCCCCCCCCCAAAAAAAAATTGTTTTAAATAGTTCTAAAATGGTGCATTTTCCAGCATTTCTTGTACTTTATGTAGCTTTTTTAAAGACCAATCATCACAAATATTTAAGAATTTAGATAAATAAACTGTTTCAAATTACATGTAATTTAACTTTAACACAAGACTTTAGACTTTGCTTTAAAAAATGTTTACATCTGACAATTTTAGGAATACAAGCAGTTGACTTCAAGTTGTCTTTTAAATGCATTTTCAACTAATTTAGTCAAGCTGCACTTCTAAGATACAACTGATGTGCAATTTTAAACACTTTCAAAAAAATCAAACATTGGATTCTTTTCAGAATTCCTAATTAGTGCTGTTCAATTTACTTGAGTATACTGTCAATATGATGTAAATAAAAATGTATTAATAACTGATTTAATTTTTAAAACAAATAAAAAACCCTATATAATAGTTTATTCAAATTTTAATTAAAAAAAAAACATGCATTTTATATATTAAGCAGCACCGTAACTATGCAGTTTTCTGTTGAAATTGACTACATTGTACTGCTTTATATATCAAATCACTTCTCTCTGTTGATTACCTGTGTATTGTGTGCGTTCATATAAAGTGATTTCCTGTTACATGGCTGAAGTATATTTCACAGTTGTACAGAACAATGGATTCGTGTATATTAGAGTTTTATCAATGCAACAAAATGATAAAATGACACTTGTAAAAAAAAAAAAATTCAATGAGTGCATTATTCACAATTCAATAAATGGAATTTTTAAATAGTTATAATCATGTTTTCAACAAATGGAATTTAGAATATTCACGGGAATTATTCTTTACAAATTACACAAATAATTGTGTAAAATTTAGAAAATAAAATGTATAATTGTATATTTTAAAACAAAAATGTAAATTTTTTCAAAATAAAAAAGGAAATCTTACTGGTTAAAGTGTAAATTATACAAATTAAAGTGTAAAACTAACAGATAGATAATGAACATTTTACATATTTCAGCGTAAAATTTACAGATTTAATGTTGAAATGAATAGATTTAATCAAGTATTGATTTCACCAATTGAGATTAATTATAAAATATACATATTAATTTGTAAAATATACAGATTAATGTGTAAATTTTTATAAATTAAATAGTTTACAAATAATCTTAAAAATTTACACATCTTGAATTTGTAAATTTTCAGACCCCCCCCCCCCCAAATGTCCGTGTGATACTCAAACTCTTCTTTAGAGGGAGATAAAGTATTTCCACTTAAATTTAGGTTATGGAAATCTGAAAACTTTGAAAGTCAATTTCAAATTTGCGTAATTTACAATATGCAGGTGACGAAGGTATATTGCTGCATAATTTGCAATTACCTCAGCTAAACTTCAACATATATCGACGATGTAAATTAACAACAGTTACCTCCTTTACATATGCAGCAATATACCTTCATCACCTGCAAACTGGGTCATACCTCTCAGTTGATTCAATACGCAAGAGAATGTTCTAAGTATGAATAATTTCTGAAACGAGGTAAATTATTGACAAACAAGTTGAATCAACAAGATTATCAGCCGTCTCGTTTTATGTCATCATTTGGTAAGTACTGTGGTCGACACATGACCTTGTCAGCAAATACAATTTATCATTGTGTCAAATGCTGACGTTTTTCATACCAATTGTTTGTCCATTATTTACACACAGAATGGACGACGGATTTTTCTGTTTTTCCCGATCATGACAAGCAGCACATGGCGTGACCGGTCGGCAAGGGATGCTCACTCCTCCATTGCACCTGATCCCACCTCTGATGTTTCGGAGATCGTGTTTGCTCTGTTCCCATTTTGTATTGTTTTATTGTTTTGAGCTTAAGTACTGTTCGTTTTCTCCATGTATTTCATTCTAAATTTTTTTTTAAATTCTAAGACAACAAAGACCTTTGCACATAAATTTTCTTATGAAACACTGATAACGAACTCCTAAGTAACGTGATCGTACATGTGAGAAGTACGCAGTATATAAATAGGCATCAAATAATTATTCCTATACACAGAACAAATATGGAAGCGGTATTTCTATTGCAGGTAGATTATTTTTTAATATAAATACCATTTATTACAATTAATCGGTTAAAAGAAATTTAAACTGGTTTCTGGATAGGATGGATCTTTATGCTATGGTAAATTAATGCTAATGATAAAAAGTTTCGTAATCATAAACGCTGGTAATTGGTAAAAGATTATTCTTATGCATTGTTTCAGAGATATTTTATCACCATTTTACAAAAAAGAAAAAAACTGCAATTAAGACATAGCAAATTTAATTAATAATTTTTTATGCAAATACATGATTGTATAAAAAATCAGTCAGTTGCTTTCCAAAGAGTTCTAAATGAACACGACAATATGAATAAATGTTTTAAAAGTTGAAATGAAAGAAATTCATCACATGTTCCATTTCTCTTAAGGAGGAAAATTTAACTGTTTACTTTAAAGGTTTTCCTACTGGGGATTAGCAATGCGTTTATATTAGGTGCCAATTCCTGCAAGTCCCCACCTGTGGCCTCTGGATTTCGGAATGAGAGATATAACGGACTATGGTACGAAGTGTCTAAAGCACAGACCGCTGGCGGAGGGTTCTTCGAGAAAGACTGCGTGTGTACGACGATAGACGTCCAACCAGATCCCTCCTCAACATCCGGGGACTCCAAGGCCATCAACAGCTGCAGGAAACTGGCGCCAAGTGGAGATTTTATGAACGCCACAGGTTTACATCTTTTATTAACATGTTAAAGATTTAGCCTTTCATATTCAATGACAGCACATCAGGGAATGCTTCATTTTTTTACTTTTTAAAATGTCTCTTCTTGTTTCCGTTAGTCTGATTCGCTCTAAAATTATTTGAATCTATCAATTGTTGTAGGATCACTAACAAACGAGGGTCCGCTGGGTCACTGGAAAGAAGGCTTCTTCCCTGGAGCACCTAAAGTAAGCTTTATCGACTTTTGTTGCTTTCAAATCAAAGCGCGAAATTTTCAAAAGCGTTTAGAAAAAGCATAAAATATACAATCTAATTAGAAATCTGTTTATATCCGTTTTGGACAAAAGTTGTTCTCAGTTTACACATCTTGTTAATTTACCTTCATTGTATTCTTTCTCGAATTATGGAAATTGGAAAAAAAATGGGGAATTCATTAAAGTTCAAATGCATTGTTTTCTTTGTTTCAGGCAGATTACACTATAATCTACCTAACAGATAATGTAGCAATTGAGTATGACTGCAGCTCCTTTCTGGGCCTCATTACGAACTACTGCATCCACATCCTGTCTCGAAACCCCACCCTCACCCCTGACGAGGAGAACGCCGCCATTAAATACGCCGAGAGTTTAGGATTAAATACTCAGAATTTACCTTATCATAAAACCTTACAATCGGGGTGCTGGTGATCTCAATGCCTTGAAACACCGCATAATTATACCCGTACAATTACCAAACAACTGGCTCTTTTAACGAATTGAAAACAGCACGGCTGTTCGAAAAAGTATCAAATACATTCCCCTCCCGAATCTATTAACTTTAGCATTAAAATTAAATTATTGCAGCAACATTTTTTGTTCAAGTTTCGCTTGCAACTATTTTTGCCAAAATTAAGTTTTTCTTACATTACCCGGGGTATATTTGCCTACTTTAATTTCTTAAAAAATTATTCTGCATGGAAAATAATTTTGAAGAATTTTATGTTTACACTTTCACTATAAGATCGCTAAAACTGCCAGCTGTTTGGAATACAAAATACTCATTTTCTGTATTTTATAATCTTTGCGATAACAAGAACTGAAAATTTATATGTTTGTAAATAAACAACTGGAAACTGAATGTATAGACTTTTATATATGCAAAATATGTTGACATTGTAAATTCAATTTTAATGTTTAATAAAAACAGCAATACACATTTGTTTTAAAATAGTTATATTTCTTGGAAAAAAATCCATTTATTTAACAGAACAAGGGCTGGAAAGCTTGATTAACCTCCCTGATGATAGAGTGCGACACCATTCAGTTTACCAAAGGATGGGGGTCCGACAGGGGTCTCGCCTGTTCCATCCTTTAACAATCGCACAACCCCACTGAAATAGAAAAAACAACAACATGTTTTCATAGATACCGCCTTATAACAGTACAATGTAAGGTGGATCTGCAAAAAGTACATGCCTAAAATTTCCTCAATTCAATGTTTCTGTTAATCTTGCAACTTGACATATTTGATTTTCAAAAATATAACCTTTCCTCTGTCTCACAATGTTTTGTGTCACACTCACTCTTTAGTCCAGTCGGAGACATAAATATACTGAGAGTCCACGTCGATTCCGAAGAAATGTGCCCCAGCGTCCTGGAAAACGAGTTGTCGGTTCTGGCCATTCGTGTCCATCTTCTCTATCTTATTTGTGCCCGCATCACACAAAAATAACTTGTTGGCTGAAAAAATATGTACACATTCGTTCTTTTTTCACATTCTTGATGAATGCCAAGAATTTATAGGGAAAAACTCAGAAAAAAATACACGATCGTTCTTTTTTCACATTCTTGATGAAAACACTCACTTGTTCCGTCATAAACTAGTCCGTTAGGATATTTCAATCCGCTGTCGACCAGAGTCTGTCGGTTAGTGCCGTCGTAATTAGCCTTCTCAATCTTCGGATGGGCTCCCCAATCCGTCCAGTATACAACTCTAGTTAAAATTAAACTTGAAATTAAACGATGTTAAGTTTGCGTCATGCAGCCTTTGTTTTTGATATAGTAATTTTAATCTAGATACAAAATAAGTAGCTAAGAAGGTACTAAGTAACCAGTGAACCTTCTTGTTGTGAATCTGTTGTCGGATATAACGAGCAAAATTTGATTGATCTGTGGAGACGACTTTAAAAGATACATAATTGAATTAAATGTACAGGTAGATTTTAGAATATTTTTAAAATAAGGGAATGTAAGATACATGTAGTTAATTGATCAATGCTGGAAAGAGGCGAAATATATCTTCAACTGTGAGCAGAAAACCTTGCGTTGAAGGTACTAGGTAACCAATAAACTTTGTTATAAACAGAGAAAAGCTTGCATAGTGCACCCTCTAGTGAAGGGTTGCCTCGGGTCACGCAGCCCATACATGCCATTCTCAATAAAACAAAAACTCCTCACTGATTAGCAACATCCAGAGTCACAGCTCGAGGTTCATCCAAGTTTGCATTGGTAACATTAACCACATTTGATCCATCCAAATTCATTTTCACTATGACGTCATTTCCGGTGTCAGTATAGAACAACAATTGGTTCTGTACGTCAATAGTTAGACCATCTGGTACAGAAACTGCAAGAAAAGATATCAAAATTTGATTTTCAATCAGGTTTCTTATTTCATAACTACTGTATATTACGATCTGATTTTATAACAAAGTTGCACTTGGACTTACATCGTTTCTTTTTTTTTTTTTTTTTTTACAATTTATGTAACTATAATTCAACAGATCTAAATTTCTTTTCAGTCCACAAACAAAATCTAAAGCCTGGTATGCCTTTTCAAGTACCTTCAAGTCTTCAAGTCAATTACTATCAACATTCCTTAATAATGTTAAGTTGTTTCATAAGGACTTTAAAATAAAAGAATTTTACTCTGATTTGTGAACTAAAAATTATAATTTTGTGTCTGGACAAAAATTAGTATATTTGTTAAATAACCCACCAGCGTTGAGCTGTTTCAGGATTTTTTCGTTGGTTCCGTCTAAACTGGTGCTTTTGATACGGTGAAGAGCTACGTCTGTGTAGAAGACGGTATGAGTGAGGGGGTTATAGTCTATAGCTATAGGGGTGTTCACAGAGTACTGGGGGATAGCGGAGTAACTACCACTCTCCAGGTCCATTCTGTAAATCTCCTGAACATAGGAATCGGCCACCAACACAAAGTCACGAATAGTGGCTGCATCTAAAACGCCGAATAACAGAGTTATTCAGTACAAGATATAATACGGAAGTTGTGTTCCATTGAAGTAAATACAATCGTTTCAGAACATATTAAATTTAAAGATGTAGAGCTTAATTTTACTCTTGTTAATTAAGATAAGTTTTTTACAAGAAGCCATTTGGCCTCAATGGTCTCTAGAATATCATGCAGAAAAGTCATTAGAATATCATGCAAAAATGTCACTAGAATATCAAGCAAAAAGGATACAAAAGCTTAACCAGTAAAGACGTACTGAATGTACAGTTGACCCCCGCGTCCTCATTATGTCGGCAGTTATGGAGCCCCCAGTCTCCAATCTTCGTGCACTGAGCGATGTGAGACTCTTCACCTGTACAATTCACGTCATCCAGGAAGATGATAACAGAACTGTCTGTCCCGTAGTACGCCCGAGAAACGGCCTTCGCTCCGGTCCTGGTAAAATTTCCAAGTATTCATTCAAAAATATAGTATAGTAGCTCATCAAAGCGCACATAATTAATTAGTTAAACCGGGGCATACTTTCCAAATCCCAACATTTCGCAGACGACCTTAGCCTCTCTTTCGTCCCACATGTCGTCACAAATGGTCCCCCATTCTCCATTAATGTAAACCTCAACTAGACCTTCGTAATGCTCCCCCTTACCCACGAGACGAACAAAAATATGGCTCTCGTCTACCACAATAGGTGAGGGAGTAACCACACCTAGAAATAAGCCACCATTGCATGATTGACAACTGCTTTTATATATGTTAACCATTTTTTTCTGAAAAAATGCTAAAGAACTTTATTCGGTAATAAAAAATATTTGCCCCCCCCCCCCCAAATCAAACTTTGATGGAGATATATTTTATTAAGTTCTTAAACAGGGGAGTATTTTTATGCTGACTTCAAAGCACTGAATATTTTTATAAGTAATGACGCCATATGTACGTAATGACGTCACAAACATGACGTAAATTTTAGTTTTTTATGAATTTTACAGATAAATGTACATATTCCGTCGATATTTTGAGCAAAAGTCACCGAGCGCATGTGTGTTCAGGATCAATATTTTGATGTAATGTGTAGAATGATAATATCAATGAAATATGTCAATATTGTTCCTGAACAAACTTGCGCTCTATAAATTTTAAAGCTAAAATTGTTGAAATTTTGTCCATTTTGTCCTCTTTCTGAAAAAGGATATTAAATCGGACTAGTTTGTGACGTCATAAAAACAAAAATTGTGAATACACTGCTTTGACACTATAATATTTTCTGTTAATTTATATTTCTCATACAATTTATTGAATTCAGAACATTTAAGGAAGTTTTAAAAATATGACTTTTGTGGGGGCAAATATATGCAATATACCGCATATAGCTCTTTAAAATAATTTTACCTGGCATTCCGTATCCATACTTGTGGACCCTAATGTCCGCTAACTGCCGGAAACCGGTAGGTCCGACATTGGTCTTACCAGTACCGTCCTTATTTACTCTCATCACCGTACTGAAGAGCGAATTTAAAATTAATAAACACGAGGCCTACTTCTTCGCTAAGATATAAAAGACAATATATAAGTAGATATACTTACTGTTGATTCCAGTCGGTGTAATAAAGGTACTGTTTGTAAGGCGACAAAGCGAAAAAGTGGGCGGTTGTGTCGGTTAAAATGGTGGTGCGGGCACTTCCGTCCGGCTGCATAGCTTCGATTTTATGCGTACCGGCATCCACGAAATAAAGCCTATTCTCTGTAAATAAAAGTGATTAAAATAGATGCCATCACATCTCTGATTAATAAAACTAAATAAAATAAACCATTTACATGGATATCTACCTTCATAATCGTATGCTAGACCATTTGGCCATTTTAGATTGGTGGATGCCAGAGTTTGTCTGCTTCCTCCATCATAGTTGGCTTTCTCGATCTTTGGACTTGACCCCCAGTCTGTCCAGTATATTGTTCTAAATATAATAGAAGTGAAATTTAGAGAAGCAAGCACATGTTCAAACTTGCATTTCTGATCGAATTCCCCCTGCAATTCTTGAACGCTAGCAATATTACGATATTAGTAGCTTGTTTTCTTGTATGCGAATTCCCAATTTCAGTAGGGTAATATTAAAATAACATTGACTTCACAACCGACTCCTCTGAAGTTGTTTTCTCGTCTAAATTGTACCAATATTGCCAGTAACTTCAGCTCTTCACTTCCAAGACTGTACATTTTGAAGACCTTGGCTTTTCTTCCCTACATGTAATTTCTTTAATCATTCAGCCAAGCTCGAAAAAAAAATCTGGAATGTGTTTTGCAAAAGTTAATGACATCGACCGTTTCACTTCGGGAATGATTCTAGTACTCGAATATAACTTGGTATGAGTCGGCTTACGCTTTACAATCTGCAATTCGTAAAAAAACAGCGTAGAACCAGGTTAAACTCGAATAATTTGCCAAGAATTACAGTCATTCCTTATAATGTAATAATAAAATGATTAAACAGCTGTGGTTGTAGAATGTTGCTGCTCAATAATACAACTCTAGTAGCCGAAAGCAAGGGGAAGTGAGGGGATCTAGAAACTGATATTTATACATTGCAGCCATGATGTATGTTTACATGTGGTAACACAATGAGATTTTTCGGTTTGAATTTATTAAATGTGGAATGTTTCATGGATCTCGAGGAGTAGAAATTAGAAGATTGCATGAAGAGAATTGCATGAATACAGAATACAGCTGGTTGCATGTCAGGGGGTATGTCCACATCCCAAACCAGGTTTTACAAATATAATTTGTGTTCCTTTTGGATATTAACCAATCAGAGGCTAAATACAGACATAATTAAATTATTTAAGTGTAAAATGGAAATAACGGACAATATTTGAGCTCATAATCCATATAAACAAAAAAAAAGTCAGAAGCAGAGTGAACACGGATCTCCAAAAACAGACTGAGGTGGAATCAGAGGCTCTGAAGGAGTGAGCATGCCCTGCCGATGTTTACTCTCGCCGTGTGCCTCGTCATGATTAGGGAAAAAACGGGAAATCCGTAGGCAATTCAGTGTGCAAATTATGACCTATAAATTAGCATGAAAAACGTCGGTCAGAATTTTTTAATGATAGGTTTTATTTGCTAACGAGGTCATTTTACAGGTTATATGTATCTAATTTAAAAATTGTTCATACGTAGAACATGTACTTCCGTATCTAATTAACTCAGAAAAATAGACCCCATAGGAAGGAGATAAAGATATATTGCTTAATATGTAAGGGAAGTTGAGGATTGAAAAATTAAGTCAAACAATGAGGTATCATAAAGTTTCGTTGTTAGGTTACCATTGTAGTGTATTTGGGGGGTGTTTTTAATTTGTAATTGGGATCGGGCTCGGGAGCCCATCGATCTCTCTCTTCCCGCGTTTCCGCCAAGCTGGGTGCAGGCCATGATTTCCAGAGCTCCTTGATTTTGTAATATAACTAATCAATTGTTTTAAATTAATTCATTATTTTTATCCAAAGTGATTTGATCGTCTTTATACAACTAGGAAATCACTTTACCATTAATGTCTCTTTAGTAAAATAAACAGATTTGGCAGACATTGAAATAAATGTAGAGTCATCAATCTTACTGTGTGGCGGGAACAAGAGCCAAGTCACGTGGTTCATCCAGACCCTGGTTCACGATAACCTTGTATCCGGTGCCGTCTAAATTAATGGTACCAATAAGATTATTACCGGTGTCTGCGTAGAAAAGCCTTCGGTTGATTGGGTCCACCTGAATTTTCTCTAAATCAGCATCTGAAAAGGACAATAACTATGGAATAAAATTATTTCAGTTGAAGTTTACAAACTTCAAACCATCTGATACCAAAAAACACAATTCTTAAATCTACCCGAGATGATGCCATGCTTGTTCAACTCAGCTTTTTAAGAAATCTATGCACTTTACAAAAAATAAAAATGAGTATAGGTAATAAAAATAGTTTTGAAATGATTAATTCAGAACAATATCATATCCCACTCTAATCTTTCTTTTAAACAACTGTTTCATTTGTAACTTATACTTTTTATGAATCAGGTACGTACTTGCATCTAATTGTTTGAGTTCTCTGACATCAGTTCCGCTGAAATGTACGCTCATCAGCTGTCTAAGTTTGTAATCCACAAAATAGATCCTTCCGTCTGTGGGGTCATAATCAAAAGCTGTGGGGGTGTACAGACTGTTCATAGGAATGGGCACATAACTCTGGGTGTTCAGATCCATTCTGAAAATCACTCCACCAAGACCAGTATCCAGAAGAAAGATGATGTTATCCTCTTGACTTGCTAAAAACGAAACAAACCAGGGAAATATCTTCGGATTTAAAATGTTATATAATGGTCTTCAGCACAATTGGATTAAAAGGGAAAAAAAAATCATATTTATTGTAATTCTTACGAGGTAGCGTAGCATAATAATCTGTATAAAGGACATATTGTGAAGTCCCCACATAGAAGTCGGAATTGATATACTTATATCTGAGTGACAGATACCTGAGTTACAGATAACTCTGTGTGTCTTACCTGAGTTACACATAACTCCTGTGTCTTACCTGAGTTGCAGATAACTCCTGCGTCTTCGTCATGCCCACAGTCGTGCACTCCCCAGCCATTGAAGTGACACTGGTCAATGCTTGCTTCTGTCCCTGTACAATTCACTTCGTCCATGAATATCTTAGCATACAGTGGGGCTCCACCGAATACTGTGCCTTGTGCGCCACCAGATCCGCTTCTAGAAATCAAAACACCTTTCTACAGACTAAGAGCAATTTTAGCCAAAATTGAGCATTGTAATAGTTTTTCTTTGGGAACTTGGGAATTAACTACAGAAATTAATCAACTTTGTCATAAGGTACCTGCTATATCCCAGCATACCACAGATAACCTGGGCTTCGCTTCCACCCCACCCGTCATCGCAAATTGAACCGAATATTCCATTATGGAAAACTTCAACTCTCCCCTCATAAGCATTGGATCCCCCGATCAAACGAACGTAAGTGGGACTAGAGGATGACACGGTTGGATTGGTGGTTCCTGACCCTATGAGATATTAAAATGATTTTATAATGACCATATTGATTTATTGATGGTTTGTCAGGATCCGCAATGAATTTGATTATTTCATGATCCGAAGCTTAATTTTGTAAATATCTAAATTAATAATTAGTTTTGCAAGATAAAGAAAGAATAATAATAATATTCGTTGGCTTTTGACGGGGATGCTTACTCATCCTAGACACTTGATCCTACCAATCCTCGGCTACTCCATTAACACTGGTAATTTTTTTCGTCCTCTTTCCTTACCTTTTCAACTATCAAAACACTCAGCACATAAAGGAACTCCGGTTTGAAAAAATGTTTATTTACCCGAAATGGTTTTACTGTAGGTTTTGGTCTCACATAATTCTTGCATAATAGAACAATGTATTTTGAATTACATTACATAGATAAGCTAAGGAATCGTAGAAGTGTACTTTAACCACCAAGGTCATAGACACTGCACTAAATCCATGTCCTTGTAATGCAAACGAACGACTTCTGACATTTCGATAAATCTTTATGCCAATCAAACCATTGCAAATTTTGGCTTTTTACCAATACACATATTCCACTGAATTGTAGACGGATTTTTAAAAATCATTTTCCAATCAGGACAGGGAGCACACGGCAGGTGTGACCGGTCTACAGGGGATTCTCACTCCTCCATGGCACCTGATCCCACTTCTGATGTTTTAGAGGTCCATGGTTGCTCCTTTTTTGTATTGTTTAATGGACTTTGAGATTGAATACTGTTCGTTATCTCCATATATTTCATTCTATACTTAACCACAGAAAGATTCTGTTACAGTTATTTGATACCAACCTCCACATAGATTCCTGTTACAGTTATTTGTCACTTACCCCACATAGATTCCTGTTAACATTGATTCCTGTTACAGTTATTTGATACCTCCACCTAGATTCTTGTTACAGTTATTTGTTACTTACCCCCACATAGATTCTTGTTACAGTTATAGTGGAGCCTCATTTATCCGGACGCTTTAGTTTCTAGTCAAAAGCATCCGGATATCTGGCATCCGGATATCTGAAGGTCCACTGTATTTGTTACTTACCTCCACATAGATTCCTGTTACAATTATTTGTTCTACAGCACTGGTTACAATTTGTATTCAGTTGACGAGTATTTCTTCTTCCCACAGGTCCGCCTCCTGACAGGGCGTTACATAACTGCAGCAGAATCAACGTTTATGTAAAAGGACTTGGTTAATTAAATATTGATCAAGATATTAAGCCTGGAGACCATACACTGAGAACAGACTTAATTCAAATTTTCGATTTTGAATACCTTGTCATTTATAATACATACGTTATAAAAATGCAGGATTTACACATATTCCAATTTATACATATGGTAAAAAACTGCTCTGTTATCAAAATTATTCCAAAAATTATATTGATTTAAAATTTTGACGTAAGGTTGTTCTCAATTTATAGTCTTTAGGCCAAAGGAATAAGAATACACTTACCGATGTAGATCGACATCCCATAGAATACACAGTAGATTGAAATATAGAGGATGTTGAATGAGACTGCGTATAACATTCCTACAAAATCGAGTTACCTCAGATTAATGAAGAAATACCGTAGATATGACTACTCATGAATTTAGCTACAGTTTTTCGTTTTGAGATATCGAAGCTAATCAATAATACAGTTTTGGATTGATAACGACGTATGTGGCAACGCACTTTGAAAAAATTTTTCAAAGTGCGTTAAAATTAGGAAAAAATCAACGCACTTTGAAAAAAATTTTCAAAGTGCGTTAAATTTAGGACCTACTCAACGCACTTTGAAAATTTTTTTCAAAGTGCGTTAAGAGTCTACATCAATATATTTTACCATGGAGACACTTAACGCACTTTGAAAAAAAAAATCATATTTTAGTCATGGAAAGATTTTTTTTGTTATTTATCTTTCAAAAAACTAAGCCTAACCCTAATCCTAAGCCTAAAATAAATTGATTTTTACTCCCGTCGAAAAGAGGAGAAGACGGGTATAAGATCCCCAAATCTTTATCTTTCCAATACATAGGTGTCGGTAACAAATGGCGGAGGGGAGCAATAAACCTAAAAAGGGTACGCTGCATTTCCAATGCTTATACGATGTATATCTCTTTCCAAAATAAGTGGGAGACTTAGCCCCCTGTCCCCTCCCCTGGCCCTTCGCCCAGTCTCGATGTCTATGCTATACTCAAAGCATTCATAAAATTATGTATTTACCTAACTGGTATAACGTTGAAAACTTTCAATAATAAATGAGTTAATTAAAACAGATGAAAAACTAGAAATTTTAAAGTACAGTAAAACATATGAGAGAGAAAGAGTTTTTATAACAACAACAATCAAATTGAACCATCAAATTGGCCCCTTTTTATTATGATAAATGCTAAGTTGCTTGAAGCTGTCCTCTGTTAGTGCCCCATATACACCTTTACATCTATTTAGAACTAGAATTAAAAAAAAAAGAAACGAATTACTGAACTTAAACAATCGTCACTCTTTTTATAAGACCCTTTAATTTTCCCTTTTATTTTATCAAAACCTTAAAATTTAAAACGTCAATATCTCAGGTCCTACAGTGACTTTATCATAAAAAAGTTATCAAACCAGGATCTGTTATTTATCATACCGATTTTTCGAAGGAATATTGATCAATCTTAACATTTTTTTCAAAGTGCGTTAATATGGTCGATATTAACGCACTTTGAAAAAAAATTATTTTTTTCAAAGTGCGTTAGCTTGGTCCCAAATTTTAACGCACTTTGAAAAAATTTTTCAAAGTGCGTAATTTTTCAAAGTGCGTTGTAACAGACGTATTTTCAATTAGCAATAGTAATTCCTTTCTTATGTCGATACGATATATCCTGGTGAGTTTGAGAAAGAAAATACAACCAAGTAAGACACATCTGTTTCTTACTTGGATATTTTACTTTAAAAAGACGTTAATAGTAATTTAAAAACGAAGCTCTATGAAAAACGTGACGACTTTTTATATTGCCCAACTTCCCTACTTACTCAGCAATATACCTTCATCACCTGCATGCGGAGTTTATATGTCTCAGTTGATTCAATACGCAAGATTATGCTCAGTCTACGTATGAACAATTTTTAAAATGTTGTAAATTATTGACAAACCCGTCGATGAAAGGAGAATATCAGCGGTCTTGTTTAAAGTCATCATTTCGTAAGTTTTATGGTCATTACAATGACCTTGTCAGCAAATACAATTTATCGCTGAGTCTAATGCTGACGTTTTTTATGCTAATTGTTAGTCATTAATTTATATACTGAATTGACGACAGATTTTTCTGTTACTTCCAGATCATACCATTGAGCACACGACGGGTGATACCGGTCGGCAGGGGATGCTTATTCCTGCATGGCACTTGATCCCACATTTGATGTTTTAAGAAACGTGTTTGCTCTGCTCCTACTTTGTATTGTTCTACCGACTTTGATATTGAATATTGTTTTTTATCTTTATATCTTTCATCTAAAACCTTGTGTATCTTTATTCAATAAAAAACTATATTTCGAGAAATATTTAAATAAATTGGTAAGGTTATCATATCATCTATTGAAAAGCAAATGCCTGATATACTACAGAGTATTTCTCTTTTTATATGAAGTATAAACCAGTCTTTATTTTGAAGACCTTTGTTTTCTTACTTCGTTAGCCTGACATGTCACCACTCGGGTACACTGGGAAGGATCGGCTATATTGTTACATTCATAACAGGATTTTGAGGCTAAAAGAAATAAAAACTTTAAAAATTATTTCCGTCCTTTACTGGCTTATTATGATTGATTGAACCAAAGTGACCATCTTAAACAAATAGGTCGAACTGATTTTTTCTAGAAATTTCCATTAAGTGTTAAACTGATCACTCACCCCTCTTTTCTATTAAAGATGAACTACAACAGGATACCAGGAATCCTGCAAATAGACATTAAATTGATTAGGAGGAGAGGCTGCTGGTTTATAAACATATTAAATAAAATCGGAATTTATTGGAAAGCCAAATTTGGGTTCCCAGACAAAACAAACCTGCTGTTAAGATAAAGCGTCGTAGAGTCATGGACATATTGTCTTCGAATGATCCGTTTGACACTAGTTAGATGACTTTATAACAAGATAAGAAATTAAAAATGTACTCACTTTGATAGATTATCGGCCTGTTTGACGGAAAACTTCCGTATTCAGGACTTTCAACCTCTTAGTAGCGGTTAGTTAATTCACAGAACAGAAAAATCTTATGATGAGGATTATTTATTTCCTAATATATTTAATTAAGATAAGATAATAAATGATAATTTGCAAATACAAGAAGTTATCACCGAGAATCATAAAAATTTCAAACCATTCAAATTTCAAAATATTCGCACAAAAGGAGAACAAAGTTTAAACTGTTTTGGTGTTTTCGTTGTTGACAAAAACATTAGGTACTTTCTTGTTGTCTTCCAATCTCTTTACTCCAACAAATTGAATGACGCTTCAGTATATTCCCCGTCTTCATTTTTGGCCTCGACCTTGAGTTCTGTGCCGCTAAATGTCATTGCAACTGTTGCTGATCGCCCTAAGCCATGGCCTGGGATGTTGACTTCCAGTTCACCAAGGTGAATGCATTTTTCTTCTTTGTCAAACCAATCCTCGCCATCGCTGCTGTCATCGTTACGTTTTTCATCGACGAACATTGGATCTGGATCTTTTGAAATATAAACTTGGATTGTAATTTTTGTTTGGTCTGGCTCCATTACAGAATATTTTTTTTCTACTTGCGGGATTCCAACTTCTATTTGTTGGTTGATTTCCACGTGTTTACTAAATATTCCCCTGCACAACACATCTCCAGTACTAGTCTCAATTCTTCTGGACCAATCATGCTCGTTCTCGTCAAAATCAATCAATGAATTGATACCATACGTGTATTTGCTTACTCTGTATCGAATGGTGGACGGTTGGTGACCGAATATTACAGCACCCTTTAAAACCGATAATCCAGCCTCGTTTGGAACGATGACTTTTTTATTTTTGAAAGTTGCAATTACTGCATCACGGAGAATTGGCGATTCCGAGTAACCGCCTACCATTAAAATATACTTTGCTTTTTTGACTGCCGGAATCTGTGTAAGATTTTTCAGATGCTCAACGATTTGATCCACCGAATTGCTGAAAAGACCTTTAGCGATGTTTGCACTCATTCTGAGTTTGTCTCCCAGCCAATTTATTTGATCTTTGTATTTTGGATTTCTCTTCAAAAAATACTTGATTTCACACTTGTTTGCAGCCATAAAAGTTTCATTCAAAGAAATTGGCACCTTAAATGTTATCTTTTCGTCCGAGTCTGGGGTAATCGTGCGCTTTTTTACTTCAAAAGTTCTATAAAGTTCCAGCATGTCGTATTTATGATCCCTACAAAATTTTTCCATAACTTTCTTTCCAACAATGTCCTCTAGCAGTGCTGTGAAAGCTTCATCAACTTTTGTTCCACCCCAGTCTCCCCCATTTGCCTTATGAATTTCTTTCAGGGTGCCATTTTGCTGCACCTGATGTACTGTTATATCAATGGTTCCGCCTACAACAAGCATTGGAATATACATACTAACTTGTTTACTGTACAAAATGCACTTTGTCAGACGAAACAAAGAAAGATAAAGACTAGACATGTTTGATATACCTCCAGCATCAAGTACAATATATGCCGAACCCGGAGAGAAAGCGTTGAATCCTTTCCCAGAAGATCCTGTCATCATCTCAATGGGGACATGTTTACAAAAGAGGGAAGCAGCCTCTGGCTCCAGTGCTATCATCAAATTATTTTCAACGA